TCTCGAATCGGGTGCAACCGCAACAAACAAAAAACAAAAACATGAACATGAAAACATTTTAAAGTGACTGCGTGAACAGAATAATCCAGGAAAAAACTGCAAAATATTCCAGAAAAAGCACCGTATACCAATGCTATGTGCAAAAATCCCAGTGGGATGCAAGTCAAACAACAACAACCACAAGACAACTTAGATTAAAGTCATCAGTCTAACTCCGTACTACAACAAACACATGTAGAGAGACACACAAAGACACACCGAGCGAGACACACACCAAGACAAACAGAAGGACAACTACTTTGTGACGAGGCCTTAAATAGAGAGAGGGGGGGGGGGCGCGACAAATGAGTGGAGCAGTGTGGAATTTCGGAACACAGTGGCTGGAGGAGAGACGATGGTTTAGACAGTGAACACCATGTCCTCGTCATCATCTTTAACCAGTGAGTCAATCTACGTCTGGATGTAAGTCTCCCCAATCTGCGACCATCTTTCACAATCCTGCAATTATTATAATACACTTAACACCTGCACACTAAATTTCGATTTAAAGCTTTCGTGACTGCAGAGATTCATCTTCTTGGTTCTTTCGGTAAAGTAACGTAGAAGGGAAATAAAAACATAATAAAATACAATTCTCACAACGTTTCGGCCACAACGCAAGTAGCCGTCGTCAGGTGTAGAACAGGTCTGTCGGAAAGACCTGCACACTAGTTCCGGGCGGAGAGACGTTTGGTTTTTTAGTGAATTTCTGTCGATGAGGCGACAAGGCCGGGGGGACTATGGACAGTTATTCATTTGCGTTCAAGGCACTTGCGTGTATTTGAACCTTATGGCGGGACCCCGGGGTCCCGTAAGCCCCTGGCTCTCGCATAGACATCATATTATAATGTAAACAAAAACTTTGCTCTTTTTCACCAATGGGTTTGAAGGATGGTGGCAAGTGTTGTCTTGTTAAACTACGCCTTTAAAACTGAAAACTACTTAGCTGCAATACCTCTATTTAAATACACTATCGAAAAAAGAATTTCACCCCTCTGTCAATCATCTTGTTGCTCAGTGTGAATTTGTGAACACACTTTGTAAACAGTACATAAAATAGTACGCGTTTTCAATGCGCTGTTCATATTGTTACACGCGTTTATGCCAATGTTACTCTACAGAGTAGTGGGTGGCCGCTCCTCTTATCTGCATTGATACGAGCGGTATGTGGGGACTATGGCTTAACCGCAAAAAAAAAACCTATCTGCATACGGACAAGAGAAGTATTATATTTATCATACAGGAGGAATTAACGGTGCAACGTATCTCATCTGTTAAATATCTGCAGGTAATAGGATTGTCATCGATTGATCCTGGCTGCAGACATTGGTAGGTCACAAATAATAATGAAGATAAGAGAGCAGTTTCACTCTATTATGCTTACCGTTGTGTTCAGCTCTTCTGCGCATCCGACCTCGCTGCTGCGCTTGGACAACAGAACGATCCGCGCCAGGTGTGTCGCGGCGTTTTTGCGCGCGGTGGGACGGAGTCGGCAAAAATAAATAAATTGCAATTTTGACTTACGTTTATTTGGGACCCCCATAAGGTTCATTTTGTTGCCCACTGACAAGGACCCCAACAGAGAGGAGGAAAGCCGCAAACGTTTGCTCGGTCAGCAACAAAGGCCCCCTTGACAGCAGCAGCATGCATGGTCGCCCTTATCAACAGGGACGCAAAGTTGCGCACTGCTGTTGTTTGACATGGTTATCGGCTCCGTGCAGCATGCACTGTTGGCAGATGAACCCCCTCGATGGCTCGGTGTCCTGTAGGCTCGTGTGCCGGCGATGGGTGGGGGGGATGCTTCAGAAATAGCCCGTAGCCGTCTCTACACCCGTGCGTGGCGTTACTATAGTTGTGTATCCGTTAAAGTGGTTTCCCACTCGAGTGGGCCTGTGGGGCAGTACTCGTTCGACGTTCACAGCCGTGAACCGCTGCTGGAAATTCCACTTTCCTCTAATGGGGAAGAGTTTGTGGCACAACCCTTGTTGACTTCCTACGCTAGAGGGGGCTCCCCTTTATTGAGGCTCGAGTTATCAAGGGCTAAGTTATCTGCCAGCCACCTGAGAGTTGAACTTTCGACCTTCGGATTACGAACTGCGCTGCGCGCTCTAACCCCACTTTGAAACCGGACCTGAAATTCGTAGGTCTGCATTCGGTATGCGGATGATCTATTTGTAGGCACTCCACAAAAAGAATGAGGCATGATAAAAAAAATAACAATTAAATTCAAAGCCTCTACCCGTTTCCCACCAATCTTAATACAGTAAATTTTTACTCCTCTGATATACGTAGCCATTATTTTACAATATTGTATTAGCCGTTGAAATGAGGGTCATTAGAAATCGGTGGTATATTTATAAATGGATCACCATGTATACAGTAGTTGGGTGAAGTCGCATTGTTAGATAAGTGGGTTTTTAGTGAGCCATTTCTTAATTTAACTCGTTAAAAATATATTAAACATCGACAGGATCATGAGACGTTGGGATGGTGGCTTTGGGAGTCCTTCAACCAGCAGTGGATTGACCATGGCTAACGATGAAGATGAAATACATTTACTTACATTAGTTATGATCTTGTAATCATGATAATTGGTGATGTAATCAGCATTGTCTTGCCCGAGAATACCGCACCTCCGATTATCACGGTTGGCTACGTACAGTGTGAAAGAAGTTCAACATGTGTTGTTAGTAAAAAATATAGGAAATAAAAAATGCGTACATTTGGTATTCTAGCCATTCTCATAGGGCAAGGCTGTCGCGAAGGCCCGACCGTTTCACAGGCATAGGTTGCGTGAGTTTCGCATCAAGGGGGCGATGTGATTATTATGGTTATTTTTTTTATTTGGCAAATTTGGATCATGATGCCGGCACGAAATGGCCTACCCTTTTCAAAAGACGTCGCGGGAACTTGAATGCCTGCTGGTAAGCGGACGCTGCTTAATTTATGCTAAATTTAACTGCAGTATTAACCAGGGTGGCCTGCTGGGTCCGACCCGCGATCCCAGGAGGTAGCGAATGCGCTGCCGCTGGACTATGTCACGTGATGATATAGTCATCGTTCATCCATAAAACTTTTCTCCAGCACTTTTGCAGAGCCCAGTGATGCATTTGCGGAAGGGACCCCTTCCACAGAGAGACACGTGTGTGTGTGGTGTGTGGGGTGTGTGTGGTGTGTGCCCGTGCATGCACGTGGGCTGCTCACAGCGCATTTAAAATTCGAAGAAACTGCGTCCACTTCTGCTTTCCCCTTCGTGCCGTGGGCCTTGCAGCCATCCGTGCTGCGAGAGCAGGAAGCGTCGGCACTGAAATGCACAGCCACCGTGGGTGTCGTTTCGTGTTTGTCGCTTGTCACCGGACACCTCCCCACCCCAAAAAATAGATTTTAAACGGCGAAAAGAGGAGCGCCGATGACGCACCCTTTTAAACACCACACGGAAACGCACGAACGGGAGTTCTCGGTGCCGAGTCCGTAGCCAGTAGCTGCGTGTGTGCAGTAGTATTATTATGGCACTGTAGTTAAGCCCATTTTTTTTATCAGGGTGTGGAATTTCCGCTACTGGCTTAGGACCACCAATTGCCACTGAAGAACGGCCATTTGTTTGTGAAGACGATACGAAATTAAGGATTCGTCGGTTAAAGTGGATTCTTCTGCTCAAGATGCATGCAATAAAATCACGTGTTTCACGAAGACCGATGCAAATCATACGCAGACGTAACTACCCTCTGAGTAATGCAGTAGAAATTAGTAAAAAAATATACATTTTTGAATCATTCCGATTCGAAAATTATTGGAATCGATAATCCAATCTCTAATTTTTTGTTGTTTTACGATTTAACCGATTGGTAAGTGTGAACATTCACACTGCACATGGCCTGTTGCAATGGTCTGTGGCAACCATCCATGCAGCAGTGGATTGACAAAAAGGGCTGTATTTTATGCTGCAACTCTTTGCACCAAACACACTTTGGTATACTGCGGCCCTTGCATAAGTTGGTTCAAGAGGTCCAGGATTTATGAACTGGTCATGAAAAGAAAGAAAAGAACGTTGTGTACGATTTGTAAACAACTCCCGCCCAGCGCACGCTCTTAGCGTCGAGTGGTTAAGTCATAAATGCCCAGAATCGGAGATGGCGTTGCGCATTTGTGGATTAAGAGTGGAAGGCCCAATTTCCTGCCTTCGTAAGGTCCTGCCGTGCCGAAATCGAGTTGCTGTTAGCGGAGTTTCTTTTATTCGCTTCTGATTGCGATTGGCGTATTGTGCTGGACTCTCATTGTGTGGCAATAAAAACATTTTTAAAAGCGTGGCGATGTTTGCGGCACTGGAACATGAAAGTCTGCAATGAAGCTGGGGTAGCAACTGATTGGTTTCTACATTTTGAAGACGCATTACGGCACTGACGTATAGGGAAGGCTTCATTTATGGTTCTCAATGGCAACGGTTGCGTTCATATTTTACATTTTCCGTACGGATTACGTGATTATTTTGACGCGCCGCGACTTCTTATCTGCAGAAAGATTGCGGGCGAGTCTTCATAGCGCAGCGGCAGTCTTTGAGGTGCCGCTTGTGTGTGTGCAACACAGAGTGGGGCAGCGGTAGTGTAACCGCTGGCACGCTGCGCTACGAACCCGGTGAGCCGAGTTTGATTCCCGCTCACGATTGGTAAGTGGCAAATATCTGAACCGGTCCTGGGTCGAACCTGGTGCAGTGTGTTAAACACGAGCACTGCAGGAGACAAATTCGACCGGGTGTGGTGTTGCCCACCCAACCCCCTCGTCTGCCGTGCCGGCCTTCATAAGCGCTCGCTAACAGCACTTGCCACAAAAGTCTAATGAAGGCGACACTGTGGGGGTGGGGGGTGGAATCTTTGTCTTTTGCGAAACAGAGAAGTTGACTGTGAGACCGCCTCTGCGCCGTGTGTGTCCCCCTCCCCTCCCTATCGCGCGCGTGCGAAAAGCAGCCAAGCACATGATTAGTGACATGACGGAGATGCGTCTGCTGGCGCTCAAGGGCGAGCACGGCAAGAGCTGCACGGCGGAGCTCATCTGGACGTGGGGCCAGCGCAACCACACGGTGGGCGAACTCCTGGACTTGCTGGAGGTGATCGGCAACAAACGCGCGCTCAACCTCTTCCTGCGTGAGAGTGAGTCGCTCGCTCTCCTCCACCGGTGTCCCCCTGCAACGTGAAATAATGCCGCAACCCACATTTCGTTATACCACTTATGAGACGAAGCACGCATTTGGAACTCTCGCGGGGGCAGTGCATTTCTTCTCCGTGTTAGAGAAGGGTCCACGGAAGAGGATATTACAGAACTGCTTCTGAGATCCATTACAATTACTTGTTAACTGTATGAGGAGTCTTGCACTTTTTCTGGCAACGCTCATCAATTTCGATTAAACAAATTCGTGGCTATATATTTCGGCATATTCATTGGGCGATCGGTTTTACTCTTGACGATTTTTTCGCGTCACCTTTTGGTTCGCCGGGCTCTGAGCATACGTTTCCCACGCTTGAGAACCTTACGCGTGATAACGGGCGGTCGCCACGTGGATTCTGACTCAGAATCTCAGCACGCCTTGTGACCCTGAGCCTCTGGGCCACCTCTGTTACACCCCCATTTATTTTTTGCCGCCACGGTATGTTGTGGGTAATAAATTAACAAGCCTATAAGGACATCATCCACGTCACTCGGGAGGGGGTGAAACTTGTAGGGGCTTTCCTGCCTTCGAGAGGCAGGATGTAGGGTGGACGCAATATGTAAAGGATTGTCGAGTAATGGTTCGAAGTAAAAGTACGATATTCGCAAAGGATACATTCCAAAGATGCTCGCGAATAGCACATTTTGTTGATAATGATATTGGCCTACGAAAATTTTCTCACATCACATTCATCTCATCACATTTATCTCATCACTTTATCTCATCACTTTTTAACGTAACATTCTCTCTCATGACTAAATCTCATCACTTCTATTTTTCTCTCTCTCTCGATGCAGTCGTGTAGAGTTCCAGATGCGATTCGCGGATAGCCCAAATCACGGAGAGCAAATTCGTGAATAACGAGGAAATAAATTTCGGTTTAAAGCTTTCGTGACTGCAGGGATTCATGTTCTTGGTTCTTTTGGTAAAATCACGTAGAAGAGAAACAATAAAATAATAAAAATATAAAACAATATAATTCTCACGACGTTTCGACTGCAACACAAGCAATCATCATAAAAATTTGAATTTTTATTTTTATTTCTTGCTGTGTTTTTCACACCTGATGATTACTATTGTTGCAGTTGAAACATCGTGAGAATGTTATTGTTTTATATTTTTATTATTTTATTGTTTCCCTTCTATGTGACTTTACCTAAAGAACCAAGAAAAATGAGGAAATACTTTAGTCTATTACAAGTTTTGGTCGCCAAATGTACTGGACCATCCTAATGTTAGGAGACGGACTTTGTGACGGTGAGCTTTGTTAACGATAGTGAGTGGTCGTTGAATGGAACACTTTCCTTTTCTTAATCGTGCCCTCTAATGTTATATACATTCAAATTGTAATATTCTGAATTGACTTGAATTGCATTGCAGAGCAGCAGGACATTGCTTGGCATTGTTGTGATGTGCTGCTGCTTTTTTTGCTGTTTAGTTGAGATGACCAGCATGTCGCCGCCTTCATTCGGCGCTCCCGAATCTCTACCGCCGCCTCCCTTGGCCTTGCCGGATCCGGTGAAGGTGCCCTACAGCCCGAACGTGTCGCCCGTCTGCCACGTCCATCACACCGGACCAGCGCTGTGCCAGGCACAGCCAAGTGACAGCGAACCCAAAGGCACGTGAATGTTATCCGAGTTAAAAGTGGAGGTAGCCAAGTGGCGTAGGTATGTGAGTGCTGAACTGCCACTGCTGAGCAGTTGGGTTAAAATCAAGGCAGCCGCCCTGTGATGAAACCATGTTCTCGAGTGCAGTGAGTTCAGACTCGCACTTTATTTCAGTTGGCGAGGCCCGTTGAGCTAAGCAGCTCTGTTACAAGGACGAACACGGCCCAAGATCGTCGGCAGTGGCGGCAGTCACAGGAAATCGCAGTGTGGGACTGTGCAAACTCACGAGCAAAAGTAAACTGTATTTCTACAAAACTCATGGATAGTACTTACTGCAAACAGTTGATTGTCTTAGCCTGGTCACCAATAACTGCACAATAAGGACCATTCCATTCAATTTGGTTCCACATTTTATTTTGTTAAATTCCAGCTCTGAAAATTCAACTATTGGTTTGGACTGTCATCCAACGAATATTACTCGTACGGCAGAGCACGTGCAAAAAATGCTGCTCCCTGCTGCGTGGACGAGAGACTACTTCAATGGATCTTAGAGACAGACCTTTTATATCCGTTTCCACGGGCTGTTATGACGATGCTGACAATTTTGATGACGGTGTGCCGCTGATGAATGACAATGAAGCCGATGACTGTGATCATGATGCGGATGATTCCGAGTTCAATGCTCATGATGACATCAATGACGAAGCGGATGCTAGTGGTGATGATGATGGCTACGATAATTATATCAGTGGTAATGACATTGAAAATAATGATGTGCCTCTGCGTGTGCTTTACAGAATTGAACGTTGCAAATGTGTTGGACGGTGCAGGGCTCCCCTTGCCCGGGAAACCGCCGGGTGACACGTTCTGCCCCATCTCGCTCGGCTCTGCCAACTGTTCCGACAACCTTCAGCCGAGCAGCAGCGACAGCAGCGGTAGCGGCGGCAGCAGCAGCAGTAGTAATATCACCAGCGACAATACGGGCGGATCTCTGCGTAACTTGAAGGAAGATAAGTGCAGCAACTTGGACGTAAGGCTCCTTTCCCTCCTACATCTTGGATGGTTCCGTTGACAAAGCTTGACGCTGTTTATGCGGCGTTATCTCTGGGTGTACGCGAGCGGTTCGCAAATGACTCGCGATTGCACCCAAGCAATCCCTGCGCTCCGCTCGTGCACAGTGACAGCGGTGAGTTAAACATAAACATTGCCCGTGTTGGCCTTTGCTACGGCGTTTGGATAACTGTTGTTATTCAAACTTACTCAGACACCACTGTTTAAAGTAAGCTTTATATATGAAACAAACATCTGCGGAAGGTGGTGCAGCCTGGGATAGTAGAGTCGGCAATCGGTGCTCATGGTTGGGTGAACCTTTTGAGTGTTAATACCCTCATATTTTATATGGACACTTTGGTTTCCTGCTACGTGCACAAAGCACTCCTTAAGAAGGAAATGCCCACATGTGGCGATGCAAACCAGTCCTGGAAAAAGCTTGAGACTCGGTGACCCTTGGCTGGATTAATAGAGTAAAATGTCGCTGCAATATAAACCCGGTGGGATTTGTGATGCATAAAGGTCTGGCTGTTTATAACTTTATATTGTTTCGAGGCAGCTGGTTATCTCCTTTCTGTCAACATGTCTGGGGTTAATGTAAGCATCGTCAGGCCACCAACTGCGGGTGTTGTTTCCCGTGCATTGTGCGCGTGTTTTTTTTGTCGAGAGGTGGGTTTTGTTCAGCGGTTCTCCACCCGTGAGTTTGCAAAGCCTTTTCGGGGGGAGGGGGGGCGGGGCGGCACAGGTTGCGCCATGGATACTGAGCAGGAGAAATTTCAGTTAAGCGCAGGGAATGCCAGCGCCGCGTCACCGCGTCACATCGCACCGATACACAATGTGAGACGCACACTTTGCTCGCAACGTTATTGACTAGAGGCGTGAACATGGGATCTCTCTCTGTCTTTGTGACCTTAGTAACCTGAATTTCGATTTAAAGCTTTCGTGACGGCAGGGATTCATCTTCTTTGTTCTTTCGGTAAAGTCGCGTAGAATGGAAATAAAAAATAAATAAATAAACATAATAAAATAATTCTCACGACGTTTCGGCCACAACGCAAGCAGCCGTCCTCAGGTGAAGAACAGGTCTGTCGAGAAGACAGCGTCTGAATGACAACCCCAGGCTTGGAGCGTCTTTTTTAAGCTGGGTTGGAGGGGGGGAGAATTTGCATATCAAGAGGAATTTAGCATATTTATGGGAAATGCAGATATGCGATTAGTACTACTTGTGAAATGCGTATTATTATTTTATTATTTCCATTCTACGTGACTTTACCGAAAGAACCAAGAAAACTTAATAACCTGGTGGGGTGGGGGGGTTGTAAGGGAGGGGTCACGCACGGTTGGGGGGCACAGGCACCAGCGGTCGTGATTTGGGGGCTGCCACGCTGGTGTGGTGCTCTTGTGTATATTTGCTGTTGTTTTGGCAGAGCGAGGTGGACAGCAGCTGCAAGGCTACGATGGAGTCCATCGGCTCACAAGATTCACCCTCTGACAACAACGCCGCTGGTCAGTGGCTCGTGCTTTTCTATCCCAGATTGCATTGTTCTCTGTTCACCTTCCCGGTGCGGTGGTGCTGCTGCCTCGGTGTGCACGGTCGTGCAGTACGGCTCTCCGACGCGTATTTGGGTCAACCCCGTGTTGTTTCGGCGCGACGTCCGACGCTTTGCTCCATGTGTGGAGAGCTTCTTCAGCACGTGGAGCGAAACGTCAGACTTAATTAAAGGAGTGTCATGGTGGTCACGGGACCCCGCCCAAAAATACCCGGCACCCAAGTTGCGACCACAGTCTGTCGATCTCCGATTGTCTTGTCGGCCTCGTTGGCCATCCTCAGACCCAGAGATAAGATGCTGGCGGAAGATGATAATTCTCGACTAGTTAACATCTCGCCACGTTGCTGAGATGTTAACCACCTTGCCTGGTATACAGGAGGTCGTAGGTTCAAACTCGACCCTGACGCCTGTATATTTGGAGTTTGCGTGTCTCTCTCCCTCTAGTCGTGTGGATTTTTTTGCAGGTCCTCCGGCTTTTCTGTCCACATTTGGAAACGTGCATATATGTTTCCACACGATAAGCCGCTTGGTTAAGTTATCACTTGTAGCCATTCCGCTTCTGAAAAAAAGTTATATAGCTCAGTGAGCTTTACCTGGTAAAATAAAAAAATTTTAGTTTAGAAAATATACAACAAACATAATAAGTGATATTACATTCATATTCGGACACAAGCTTTGTTACACACGCACACATCTACACATGTTTTCTGGGCCTCTGCGTTGATTTCAATCGATCTATCGTTACATGCCTAACACCCGGCCAGGGGTCGCTTATTGATCATGTAGTTAATGATCAATAGCGTCAAGTGCACCTCCGATTAGCGTGGTTGGCTACGTACGGAACATACAGACAGTCCTCGGGTTGAGGAACACCCGACTTACGGAAATCCGACCTTGGGGAAATGCTCCCATAAATCGTTGAAATAAAAATAATTTTGCGGAATTTTTTGCGTTAGTTCCATAAGCGCAAGTCGTGCAGTGCGGTGAGGTTGCGATTGATTACCGCGGAGAGAGGCATCAGGCGGGTAGCATCTTCCTCAAGGCCCTCTCTGCACTGTTACGTAATTCCTTTCCTTTTGTAGCATTAAGTAATTGTTTGTTTTCTGTGCTTCGAACTATCTTTTTTCCCCCATGTTTCTATTGCTAGTTTTCTTCATTTTAAGTTTATTTCACGAGTCATTTGCTGTATGTACTTTATTTAACACAAATACACTTCGATTGCTTCTCGTCTCAGCCAACAGCGATCGGAAAAGTCTCGGCCTAGCCTAATGCACGGTAAATGAACATTCCGAAGCGACTGCTTTCAGTTAACAATTAATATTAAAATGTTTCGTGGTATTCATAAACAATTGGATACAGTATGTGTTCCATTAGTTTAATTATGGTTAGTGTTATGGTAGATATTTGATGAAAGAATCGTAGAAAGTGCAGAGCGTATGTACAGCGATACGATTCGGGTAGCGATAGAAAATGGACGACACATTACTGAGAGAGAACAAACTAGGAATCGGGTAGGGGAGGCACAGCTATTTCCGGCTATTGGGATTTTATCGCTAATTTTAGGGAAAATTGTTGAGTTTCTGACATGGAAAATTCGGGTTACGGATAATTCTCGAGAACTTAACCATTCCGTAACCCGGGGATTGTCTGTACATACATACACGCGTAGTTACTTTGGCTAGGGCTCACCGATCCTAATGGGAAGGCCGTCATTGATGGGCTCTGCTTGCCTTGCTTATCGCCCTCCAGTGCTCGACCTGCAGCAGATATTCTCGCTGCAAGCTATCTTGGAAGGCACCCACAACTTCAGCATCGACCGAAAGCTGGGAGAAGGTGCCTTTGGCGTCGTGTACAAGGCTGACATCCACAGGACCCCGTTTGCCGTCAAATTGTTGAAAAAGGTTGTGATGGATTTTACTCGCCCTGTCCCTCCCGCCCCATGACTTCGTTTTACCTGTCTCTGTGTAAATGTGGATTCTTGGTGTTGTGTTGGTGAGAGTGAAACATGTACAGAATGAGACGGTTCTGGTTTTCACGGATGCGTCCCTAGTTTTCGGATGAATGTGAAAGAAAATCTGAGAAGTTGGGCCTAGAAAGTGAATTGGTTTAAAGTGTGCCGTCGCAGGAAATGACGTCACTTTTCACATCACTTCTTACACAATGTCGATAATCTCAAAACCCCCAAAAGAGATCATAAATTGTGCTTAAATGCAAATATTTGAAATTCAAATGCTTAATGTGATACTGGTCCCAAATATAGCCACATGTACGAACTGCAGTCCACACTTGATTATGTAACGTGCTCATATTGATTATCCGGTGATGTGCTAATGTTGAACCGAAAGAATCGTCAAGTTGCCATCGTCTGGCGCGTGGAGTCTCCAGGCCATCGGGTGTTTGTCTGGTTTGCTTGATGCTCTCCCGTCTTGCTGTTGCAGCAAGGTGGAATCCAGTGGCAGACGGTGTTGGAAAGCCTGCACGCCGAAATGAAGCATCTTTACATGTGAGTGTCGTGTCCTCCGTTCGTAGTTGTCTCTTGCCTGTGACAGTTATAAAATAAAATCCCACGTGGCGCCCATTAATTGGAACTCAGTCTTTCTTTCATAGCTTACTTTGAAATTTCCACCGCTTGCTTAGGCCTTAATGATGTCCGACATTTTGCGCCACACGCTCTAAGCCTCGGTTGCTGAAGTTACAAAAAAATCTCCCAGCACGTGGAGCGAAACGTCGGACACGGTGCCAAGCAACACGCGGCTCGACCCGGAAGCACATCGGAGAAAGCTGTCCAGCAGGACAACCGCGAAAAAAACCTCCACGTAGTGACACTAGCGCTGCCTTAGCCACGAGTTTGAGCACGGACTCACTCTGCCTTGAAAACTCACTTCTTTAGGACGTACGCATGTTGAATTTCTTTCACACCGTACGTAGCCAACCGGAGGTTTAGAACTGCTTTGTGTTTAGTTTGTTGTCCTTCCTCCGCACCTCCGATGAGTATGGTGCGAAAGAAGTTCAATATACGTACCTTCCTCCGACTCTCCGTGGTCTCACAGTTAACGTCTGCTGCCCTTTCACTTTTCTTTCTCATTTGAGGTTGCGGCATCCGAATGTGCTCGAGCTGGCTGGGTTCTGCCTGGAGCAAGACCACTGCTGCCTGGTTTACCACTTCATGCCCAACGGCTCTCTGGAGGATCGCCTGCACCGCGGGGTGAGCAGCTAGGCTCGCCCGGCTGTGGGGGGGGGGGGGGGGGCACGACACCGCTTACCACAGCCTCGAGACGTGTTTGGAAACTGATCGAGCGAGACCTTTGCCCCCTGGTGGTGCGTGCATCTTTTGATCCGGTGCTGTAAAGGCGAGAATTTGTGGGTCGCACAAATGTTGCCAAACTCACTAACCAAGTCTGCTGTGAGGTTGTCATCTCCTGGCTTGCCAGGGTATGGCAAGTACAGCGAGTGGATTGGGTTTTCTCCGGGTACTCCGGTATCCTCCCATGTTGATGGAGGTGGCCAAACATCCAAATATAGGAGTACAGAGCTTGGGCAATTGTTGGTGATGGTTCTGGCTACGGTCCCCGCTTGTCTGTGGTTTCCCACACCTCTGAATCGACACTGTGTGCATTACAAATTAGTGTATTTATTTTGTTAATTGTAACTTTTTTGGAGGTCAGGTGGAAACTCGGCTTTGCAGCAGAGGCTGAACTCCCGAATGAGTCGAGCGGCATTGTCTGTTCGTCGGCTGCGTGACGCTCATTGCTCGTGGCCTGTCCATTTTGCTCCCGGAAATAAAACAAAACAGTCTACAACACAGCAGTAATCAATACTCTAATCACATTTTGACCCGAAAGTTATGAAAATTTAACAAATAACGGGAGGGAGTGAATTATTGCATCCCTTGTAAACTGTGCAAAAGTTGCAAGAGCCAGCAGAATAAAGCAAGTTATGATGACAGTGGTCATCTCTGGTATTAACGGCTGTGTGTGGACATGGTGTCCTCTTGAACCTTTAGCTATCAGCTGTTGTATATAGCTCACATTTGAACAAAGACCACGTTTTAACAGAACACAAACAAAGAGCACCTGACCTGGGTTTAACAAAGGTTTTCTAGGTCTAAATTAATTGACAAGCATGTACTAATAGGGTTTTTCCCCTTTTTTCTGGCAACAAAACTGACACCTTTTGCATGGAATCATGTTAACATTAACCACAATACTTGCAGTCAAATGCAAACAAAAAGCAATACTCTGATAATTTATGCATTGTCCTTGAAACTGATTGGTCCACACCAGAGACAGTTTTTCTTAGGGCCTAGTCTCATATGGTGTTCGACCAGATGACGCCAAAAGGCGCACAGTTCAAAGACAACGCACTATCAGAGTAATGAGAGCTCGGGGTAAGCATCTACATCATGAGTACTGTTTAATCTCCCCATTTATTTTATAATTTGTTATATTTGGAGTTTCCATTTAAAGTCTAGTTCAATAATTTATTTTTATGTCTAGGGTTACGCAATGGTAACGCCCATGCATCATGGCAAGAAGGGCCTGGGTTCGATTCCTGACGAGGGTGCCGCTGTGTGTGGAGTTTGTATGTTCTCACTCCCTGTTGTGCACTGCGTTCTCTAGTTTCCTCCCATAGCTTAACAAAAACATCCACTGTAACTTTAGCAAACAAATCGTGCAGATTACTTAATCACCAAATTATTTGACCATACTTCACCACACTGGTCAGTGTGGGTTGGTGAGGGCGGGGAACTCTTGGGTCTCGATCTAATGTTAGCATACAATTTGTATAAATCGTAAATAAATTGATTCTTATATGCACCATTTGATCCATGTATCGTGAGCGTAATCATCTAATCGATGCATCGTTGCTACACGCCCTGCGTCTGATGTGTTATACGATCATTAACCCTTTCCTGTACACATGTATCATTAAAACTGGAAAGGGTTCACCATCCGCAGTCTGAGAATGAGGGTCTCTGGGCCCCTCCAGCATCTTGCTTGTTAAATACCATTCCGCCCTTAACCCTGTCGCGGCCATGTTTTTTTCCACTGGACGTCACCCTGCAGACAGCTGGCTTTAAACATTAATTCTGTAGTCTTGGGTCATACTCTTGGGTTTTTTCGGTAAAGTCACGTAGGTAAAAAATTAAAAGAAATAAAATTTTATTTTCAAAATTTATTTATTAAAAAAAAAAATTACCTACGTGACTTTACCGAAAAAAACAGAGTGAATCCTTGCAGTCACGAAAACTTCAAATCTAGAAGTCTTGGGTCATTTCGACAGGGTCTGAATGACGCTGTCTTTTCGACAGACCTGTTCTTCACCTGAGGACGGCTGCTTGCGTTGTGGCCGAAACGTCGTGAGAATTGTATTTTATTATGTTTTATTTTTATTATTTTATTATTTCCCTTCTACGTGACTTTACCGAAAGAACCAAGAAGATGAGTCTTGGGTCAGTTTGCTTTCTGGTAACTTTTTTTCCCAGTACAAATGGAGCATTTCCCTGGTCCTTATGCAATATTTGTCTTTTCCAGATCTTGCCACTAGAAGGCAGCAGGCGACACATCTCATCTGTGTGTGTGTATGGGGGAGTGGTAGTGGAGCGGTTAGCATGCCCCCCTACCAACCCCGGCGACTTCAGTTCCAATCTCCGCTCACGGCCCACACTCGTGTGCCGTGCCGGCCTTTATAGGTGCTACTCGCTAACAGCACTTGCCCCAACAGTCTGTTCAGGCTATACGGGGGATCTTTGTTTTTATATGGCCTCCTCGGGCGTAATGCTGGCCACCCACCCCCTCGTGTGCCGTGCCGGCCTTCATAGGTGCTACTCGCTAACAGCACTTGCCCCAACAGTCTGTGAAGGCTATACAGGGGGATCTTTGTCTTTCTGCTTGTCCATAGCCTTGAAACATTAACCTACATTCCCTCTTGTAAAATATCAGGACCGTCCAAAGCAAGGCAGCGGTGGGTACCGAGAATAGACAGGACTGGCTACGGTCGCCTCTAACGCAAGGCGTTTAAGGCGCTCTACCAACAGCACTTACCTGGACGGAGTTGAAGGCTAAGCGATGGGGTGGGTGGTGAATGTTCGTATGCGTCTCTCTGTCAATGCAGAAGGGCGATGGACCTCTGTTGTGGCGGACGAGGTTGGAGATTGCGGAGGGATCTGCTCGTGGCCTTCAGTATCTGCACACGGCTCAAATGGACCCAGTCATACACGGGGACATCAAGAGGTGCGATGCCGCTTGTGTCATATGCTTCTATTTTTGTTATTGCTTCTTGCCATTGGATAGATAAAAAGGTTCTTCCCTCTAATTACTTAAGGCACTACTGGCAGAAGGGCCACCAGAGGAAGCTCCCGAGAGCCCCCTCGACAGGGTATTTGGCCTACTCTTCCACACCGGTCAGACGTCTGGGAAGAGGTGGACGACCCCCACCACATACGTGCGGTGGGCCGATCTATTGCAGTGTGCATCCATTTCAACTTTTGTTGTATTGTAGGAGTTGGCAAAGCTTTTCCTCATGGGAGTCGAGTAGGACTTTCAAAATACCTGTTGCAGCGTAGCAAGCAGGAGCTGCGATCATACACTGTGATCATGCTAGGACTGCATTCATCGTCTGTGCTCGGCACCACTCGAAATTCAACAGATGAACTGGCTGTGCTAAAATTAGAAACAGTGTTGCCAAATATAAAAAAAATTCGCAGTCGCATGCCAGATCAAAAAACTTTCCGCAGTCGCATGATGCAGGGGTGGTGCGCACACGAAATCGGCACCCCCCCTCGTACCGACCAGTCTGGCGCATGTGACTCGCTGGAGACCTAAGGTGGAGGCGGCGATGTGACAAAGTCGGCATAATGCGAATATCTGCGGAAAATGGCAGTTACACTGCACAAGTACTGTACTGGGTGTGGGCGATCGGTTGATCAGCGCGTATGTGCGACGGTCGGATATGCAACGATGCACGGTACTGGTCCGTTAAAGGGTGATCTACTGCAATCGGGTTCGCTTAAGCCTTCGTGCATGCACAGCTGATTTGTAGTGGAGCGACTATATTTTTATTGATCAGCTGATTTTACGTGCTTGTTGTGTGCGTGTGTGGTGGGGAGCGGAGGGAGTGCAGCGGTTAGTGTGCTGCGCTACCAACCTGGCGGCACGAGTCCGATTCTCATTCACGGCCAACACCGGTGACGATTATCTGAACTGGTCCTGGGCCTCCCCTAGGCCGACTCGGCCCCAATTGAGTAGCTGGTGCGAGGTGTAAAAATATTGCCACTTGGGATACGCAGGCGGCCAGACGTGGTGCTGGCCACCCATCCCCTTAATAGGTGTTCGCTAATTACGCTTACCCCCGAAAGTCGTGTTAAGGTTACGCGTGGCATCTTTGTCTCTATCCCCCTCTCCCTCTCACCATGGTCCCGCAGTGCCAACATCCTGCTGGACAGCCACTGCCAGGCGAAGCTCGGCGACTTTGGAATCGCGCGCATGGGCCCCTTCCTGGGCATGCGCAGTTACACGTACGTGCGCAGCGCGGAGATGCGCGGCACGCTCGCCTACCTGCCCGACGAGTACGTGCGATCACGCCAGCTCTCGACCAAGGTGGACAGCTACAGCTTTGGCGTGGTGAGCTTTGACTAGCCCCCCCCCTCCCCCCCCGCGTTCCATGCTCCTTGCGAATATTCCAGTGGAAATGGGCCAGAGCGCCCCAGAGTGCCCTGGTATGCTGTGGTGGAATTGAAAATTTGAACCCAGTTTGCGTTCTGGAAGAAATTGTAGGGTTAATATTTTTTTTTGACTCTCAGATAGACAGACTCCTAGACTTGCAGAGAGACACACTCAGAGACCCACAGGAACGGGTCTCTTTTTGTTTTCTCGCTTGGCACACACGTGCGCTCCTGCACACACACGGGACGCTTGTACGCACAGGAATGCACAATGCATACCCAACGCGCACACAAGCACTCGCATACCACTCGCACCCATGCATTGTATGCATCAACTTCCTTCTCATAATCCCTTGTATTGTTGTAAAAAATGTATATACAACGGCACACGTTCATCAGTGGGGAAAAATATATAATAGGTGATGTTTCAGGCAATGGTCCTTTTTCATAGCACACATGCCGAATAAATTGGGTGAATACGTTGGAGGACTGCACTCTGCTCCCAAGGGGCTTCATTTTATTCGGAGCCCGACTGGACGACAGTGTCGAGGTTTTGTTATTTGTGGTTGTGCACCACTGCCAATGCATAGTAGCCCAACTCTTTTTCTATTATTACTATACATCATTTCTAGATTTGAAGCTTTCGTGACTGCAAGGATTCATACTCTTAGTTTTTTCGGTAAAGGCACGTAGGTAAAAAATTGAAATATAAATTAATAAAAATAAAATATTATTTTATTTGTATTAATTTTAATTGCATTTTTTTATATAAAATATTATTTTATTTTATTTTTATTAATTTTAATTTCTATTTTTTACCTACGTGACTTTACCGAAAAAACTAAGAGTACTATAACATCACCTCTTAAATGCAATGCTTCTGACGACTGTCGTCCATCTCGTATATAGGAGGTATGCATGTATGTTAGCACTTGCCCCAACAGTCTGTTCAAGGCTGTACTGGGAAGTTTTATCTTTGTGCACGCAGCCTACATTTTTCAAGCACAGCGGAAAGTTTCGCCAAATGTTTTTTTATCAAATGTTTTGCCAGAGGGAGCGCCGCATCAATGGTAGCCGTTGGCAAGCAAACCAAACCGTTGAAATGACCAGGATCTCAATAGGGTCGCTAATGGGAAGTGTTTGAGTTTCCTCAGTCGATGATAGTCGATTGAACATTGGGACACACGAATCATCAACAGCCAGTTTGGCAGCGTGAAATAAAGTTTCCGCTGGTTTGCAAACGGACGCTTACAATTTGCTTTCACGACGTCCTTAACGCAGCCTTGTAACAGAAAAAAAAATTACTAGGCTATCAGTTTGTATTATTTAAAGTCAAGAAGTCAGTGATTTCTTGCTCGAATAAGCATTGAGGTGGTAGTCATAATCTCTTTGCAGCCCTGACTGAGCCAGTGGTGGAAATCCCACATTCCTTTGGCTGGGGCAATTCTACCCATGTGACAACCTATGTTGACTTCCTGCAGGAACGATGCCCCAACCAGCATGAAACTTCCATGCTTCTGATGCGAACCACATGGCCAGAATTGCGTAATTTAACGCGACGTACTTTTTTCCTTCGTATTAAAACGATTAAACGGGGCAATGTTTGGCTTTTGGCGTTCTCTGGTCTGACACTGGTGAGACGAGGCCACAAAGAAGGCTGTCTCTGGTGTAGGCCAATCAGTTTCAAAGACAATGCATATATTGTCAGAGCGTGTTTTGTTGGTATGCTCACCACAAGTACGTGTTGGTTAATGGAGACTTTATTTCTTGCGAAAGGAATCTATTTGGTGTTGGAACATCTTAACCCCTCCTGGTTTTATTGCCAGAAAGTGTAAAACCTCTTCTTATTTTTCATAAACAAGGCACGTTTCCGTGGCCTCGCGCTGCTTAAACACGCCGCGGCGTTTTTCCCCGCTTCCTCTTCAAGCACGCGGATTAGAGCGTCATCATTGCGAGTGGTGTAATCTCAGGGGGCGGTTGCGACAGTCGACGTACGCTGTGACACCTTGGCTCAGCGCCCCCTGTGCGTTCCTGTTGCAGGTACTGCTTGAGCTACTCACGGGGAGGAAGGCTGTTCAGGAGCAACCACAGCCTCAGTTCCTGGTGAGTTCTCGAAAAGCGTCTTTTTGTCGTCGCGCTCGCCTCTTCGTCCGAAGTTCAGGGTCCGAATCCACGTTTGCAGGGATGCTGCCTTGCTGCGTGCAAGCTGCAAGACTTAACGATTTCGATTGACGAGCGACGGAGCGCGCTTTGGCATGTAAATGTTGGCCGTAGTAGAGTTTTTTTTTTTTTTTGGGTTAGATCGTGTAAATGAAGATGTGTCATTAAACCCGCCACCACCCGGCACAGCCAATTTGTAAAGGGGTTTGTCGCGTAAACAAAATGTGCCGATTAGTTACGACTTCGGCACACCGGTTGTGTGTCGGAGGATAAACCCATAATATTTAAGAGTATTCTGACATTTCGCTGGTGATTACAACCAGCCTCATCGAGTAATTTCGGCAGAATTGGCTAATCGCCTTACGAGGTTGGTTGTAATCCTCCGCCTCCATAACAAATGGACACCGACTTCAAACGCATGTGCCGTGCGTCTCAGGAACTCCTTTTCAGGAGAGGGGCTCCTGCTTCGGGTTTGATTGGCCAGCCACGAGAGTTTCACAGACGGGGGACGGTGGAGCGGGCTGATCGGTGTTGCTAATTGGAAGGGAATTTATTTAGTATTTTGCCAAACCTGGGTGGTAACGCCGGCACGCATGGCCTGCTCTTGTTGAACGACGTCCAGGATTTAGCGTCCGTCGCGAAGCAGATGATGGTACGCGTTTATATTAACTATTTAAACTATTTTAATTTTACCAGCTGTGGCTCACTGAGCCACATAGCTCTTTCTCAGAAGCGACCTGAGCATAAATGATAGCTCAACGAAGGGGCTTAAGTGGAAATTTGTTGCAGCAAAATACTCTAAATTCATGTTTATAAATATGGAGGGAAAAACAGGAGGACCCGGAGAAAAATCCACGTGACCATGGGGAGAACATTAAAACTCCAAATATGCGGCAGGCATCCGGGTGGAGGGTGGAGGGGGATGGGTGGGGTGTGGGGGCGTTCAGTGGAGGGGGGGGAGTGGGGGTGGGTTGGGCGTGTGTGGTGGGGTGGGGGAGTCGTCTAATTCGGTCGGTGTGTTCGGCCCAGCGACTTCTCGCTCACGCCACTTGCTGGCGGAAGGGCCTCCACTGGAGGGAGCTCTAGAGGGCATTTGGTCGACCCTTCCACACACGAACTGCCGACCGACTGGCTGCGGTGGGCATTACCCAGTTGCACTCGGTTACCGGAGCTTCGTAGCTCATCGAATTCCTCCAGTCGAAATAAAGTTCCTGATTCTGACACCGCTGGGTGGACAAAGAGGCAGGTGGGATTGCAATAAGCCCCTCCGTTGCTTTCAACTGCTCCGCCGGGTCGATCAAACCGGCGATCTCGAGCCGTCGCACCCCGGTCAGCATCCCTGCGGGGGAGTGTAACCAAACTAATCCGGCCTCTCCTCCTGCTCCCTCCTGCTCCGCTCGCCACCTCCAGAAAGACGAGGTGGAGGACGCGCTGGACTCGGACGAGGTGGGCACGGTGAGTGAGCGGATGTTTGATCGCTCCGCCGGGCCCTACCCTCAGAGCCAGGCGACCGACGTTCTGCGTCTGGCGTGCAAGTGCCTGGACAAGCGCAAGAAACGGCCCGAGATGACCGAGGTGCGGTGTCGGCGCGGCGTCACGCGGTGTATGTGTGCCCCATCTCACTTGGCTCTCCTACCCTCTTGCCTCTGATCTCAAATCTGCTCCCCTCCACGCACTGTCTTACCTCTCCCAGACTCCTCTCATAGTCCGTGCGCGTGCTTGGGTTTTTCCCCTCCGACCCGTTTCTCATTAACGACGTGGCGTCGGCTCTTTCAGGACCAGCGCTTGTTGCGCCGCTTAGATTCGTGCAAGGGGGTGGGGGGTGGAGGGGGGGGGAGCGTGCAAGGCACGTTGAATTGTCTTGCCAGCTCCGAATTGCGCCGTCTCCCCGACCAGGTGCTCGAGTGCCTGGAGGCGATGCGGCAAACGGATGCCGACAACACGCGCCCGCTGGCCCTGCCTTCGGACGCCGCGCCGACCCCGCTCGGCCACCGGGGAACGACGCCGCTGGAGCCGGCGGGGCCTCGACAGGTCCCCGTCGAGTCGACCGACGTCCACCAATTCCCGATGCTGCCTCAGGACCTGCGCTCGCACTCGCCCGTCACGGCGGCGACGTCCGACGCGCGGCTCCCCCCGCCGCCGCCGTCGTCGCCCCCTTGCCGTGGGCGCCAACCCTCGTGGTGGGGGGGCGGGGGCGCCGCCTTGGTTGCCGACGACGCCGGGAAGCTCTTGCGCGCACCCTGCGAGTCGGACGATTTGTGCAGCGCGGGCGCCGGCAGCGGCGTGGGCTCCGGCAGCGGTGGCGGAGCGGAGGCTGCTGCGTTCCCCTTGTCGCTGGCGATGGAGAGCGTGCACGTGCATGGCGGCGGCGGCGCCGGCGGGCCGGACGCGAAGCCGAGAGGAGTGGCGCGCTCCTTCGAGGCCGGTCGAGAGTTTGTGGCGAGGATGATGGAAAGCGGCGGCGGCAGTGGTGGCGAGGACGCGCTGCTTTGTCACCGCGGATTGCCGCCGCAGCCGTCGTCTGGACGCAGCGAGCACGCGGGCACCGCCAAGAGCATGGCGCGGCCGGGACATTACGAAGCGGCGTCCCTGTCGCTCAAAGGGGCGGAGAACTGTTGGGCGCGGAGGGTGGACTGGTCCGAATTCTCTTCCACCGCCGCCGCATTCGTCGTCGTCGTCAACCTCGTCTGCGAACGCGAGCCAAGGTGACCATTTGACGTGCGTTCGTCTGTCTCTGTTCGTGACCTGGTGCCACCACTCTGTGGTTGTCGGCTCTCGACTCTCAGTGGGAAGGGTGCAAGTGCCAATCGTGTTGATTTAGCATCCGTGCCCAATGTCCAAGATTCAGAGATTCGGGTCGAAGAGTGGGATAGAGCACCGTTAGCTAGGGCTACAGCTCTTACGATTGGGGGTCATGGTTCCAATCATGAATATAGTACCTCCTAGCGGCTGCTGCTGCTGCAGAGATTGTGAACCAATTAGATAGATACATCATCTGTGGATGGATAATTGTTTTTTGACGTGTGGTTTCATGCATTTATCATGATCACAATAACTCCTTTGAATCGATTTATCATAATATTCCCACTGGTGATCATCTCGTGTCTCTACCCGTGTAAACACTGCCTGTGACTGCAGTGTTACCTTCCTGTGTATGGAACTAAAAACCGTATAAGAATAGGTTGTACCCTTTCTGACAACATAACAGGTGTTAGGATGTTTAAACACCAAACTGAAACCTTTTGCAAGGAATCGTGCCTGCATTACCCACACGGTGAACATGCAAGCAAAGCAACATGCTCCGGTAGTACGTGCATTGTCTTTGAAACTGATTGGTCCACACCAGAGACAGCTTTCTTTAGAGCCTACTCAAAGACAATGCGCTATCATGATAGCGCATTGTCTTTGTGCTGTTCGCCTTGTAGGTGTCCTCTGGTCTAACACCGTTTGGGCCGAGGGTGGGCCGACGGTGTGGTGATGGAGTAACCGCGCCACTTTGCTCCCCCCCGTGCACTGGCAGGCAGCCGAGTGGCTTTACCGGAGCCAACAGGGATGTGGCTGAACCCGGCCCGCCGACGCATGGAGGAGCGGATTAACCAGTACAACGAGGGGTGCATCACCAGCGCCGAGCTCTTTTCGGAGACAGGAAGGTGCGAGGGCGATTCTGTGGACGGCCCATTCGCTGCCACACGGCCATGCCGATTACCTAAAGGACGACCCGGCCCAAGACGAGTAGTTCTCGTCATGTAGATCCGCGTGTCCCCCCCCCCCCCCCCTCCCTGAGCGTCCCATCGCGAGCCGAAGCCCCATTAATGAAAGAAAGGCTTTTTGAATCGGGTAGCGTGCGTTTCGGGTAGAGTGTGATGGTGAGAGTGGTAGGGGGGTGTTTGTTAAGGTTTCTCGAGTGAGGCCTGTATTTTGAATTGTACCTGATTGAGTTTTGTGATGCTAATTCCTACATCGCAGGATCGTAGGAGGTGGCTGTGACTTGAGGAGGCCTTCATCCAGTAGTTTGGCCATGGATGATGATGGTAATGATGGTCCTGGTTCTCATGTGTCTTGTTTGTGTTGTCTGCAGGTACAAACAGAGTTCCAACTGAGGATTTGGAGTCTCGGACTGGGAACAGATGATCCACGGAACAACATCGTCTCTTGAGTTGATATTGACTGGACTTGCCTGGACCAAAGTGGTCATTGCGATTTAGGAGTGGGACCACACGACTTCAGCGTGGAGGGCATGATATGTCTTGCCTTGTTTGGTCTCTCTATGTATGAACAGCACTTTGTATTTTGTTGCCTAATATCTTAGGTATGTAACCAGACAGACCCGAATTGAAAACAAAAGAGTAAAGTTATTTGTTTTCAAGAGCATAACCATTCATGTACAGCACACATTTGAGGGCGAGCTGACCTAGGGTGGGCCCAGGACTGGTTCAGATAATAATCGTCACTGTTGTTGTCCGTGAAATGGAATGGAACCACTCCCTACACTGAAACTCAACAGTCACACATTAAACAAAGATTCCCCGTATAGCCTTGACAGACTGTTGGGGCAAGTGCGATTAGCGAGAACCTATGAAGGCCGGAATGGTACACGAGGGGGTGAGTGGCCAGCACCACGCCGGGCTGATGTTTACACAGGTACTCATTTGAGGCCGAGTCGACCTAGGGGAGGCCTAGGACTGGTTCAGATAATCGTCACTGGTGTTGACCGTGAGCGGGAATCGAACCCTGGGTCGCCGGGTTTGTAGCGCAGCGTACAAACCGCTACACTCCAGACACACGCTCACTGACGCACGCACGTGATCACTCACCGACACACACTGACACCCTCATTCCATCCACTCTCCCTGTCAGTGCCATCTTCATCTCTCTACGGCCTTCTCCATCTCATTCTCTGTCGCTGTACGTCTGTCTGTGCCTCTCTTTGTCTGTCTCCCCGTCTGCTGGAAGTGAATGGACATTTCCTGCGTGCCTCCCTTTTAATTAGGTGGTCACCGAACATGGATAACACGAGCGTACATATATAAACAAATACCGGGATCAATATCGTGCTCTACGTTGAATGGGAACACGCACATTTGATAAATATTCATCTAATATCAATACAAATCATGAGAGAGCCTTGCTTTGAGGTGTATCGTCATTTGTGTGAAAGCTGCACCCTGGCGAATGTTTGACTTGGAGTAAAAAATGGAAATGTTCGTTCGATGGAGAGCTCGTGGTGCACCTAGCCTGGCACGAGCACCGTGGTGACGTCACCGCAACTTCGTGGCGAACGACGGTCGTTGTTTTGGGGGAGGTGGGTTTGTGTTCAATGTACCGGTTTGACTTTGTTTACATAATAGCCTTACTCGTGGGAGCAGGCTTGAAAATGTTCGGGGTCGGATTTCGGTGGAAGGTAATGTGCCGTTTGTAAACGCACAGAACGCCACGATCCTTTGGAATTCGTGCAGGTGGTTATCTTGAAGTCTGCGACGCCGTTTGTACGTATAAGAGAAGATGGTACAGTTGGTTTAAACGTCAAAGAAACTATATTGGGACCTGTCATGTGTATATACTAGACTGATTATTGTACAGATTGTGTGTGTGTGTGTGGCAAAAATGATTGTAAACTGGATATTATTATGCTACACATGCATTTCTATTGCAAGACATGTTTTGGCAATAAAGAAATGAAGAGACTAAAAGTGCATTTCACACGTAACTTAAATAATCACCAAGGAGAGTGAGCGATCAAATCAGTTCGAGCGCAAGATCGTGAGAGGTTGGGGCTTGGGGAGGTGCTTTCATCTAGCAGTGGATTGATCATGGCTGCTGCCGATGATCATGCCCCTACATGACAGCTTTCTTGCAACTGTAATATGTAGTATGCGGGAACAATATAAAATGCGTTGACGTGAGGTTTTTTTTTTTTACAAATATATAAATCCCAGTGTTTGTGACGTGGTGTAATGTGGTTCCCCGAGGTTAAAGTGACGTGTTCGGCAAATGTAATAACAGCAGCCAATCAGTTTGAGCTCGTCTCGGACATGATACAGGTTTCATTGATACGCAGCTGCTGTCATAATGTGTATCTTTTTTTTATATAACAAGCACATTTTTGAAAAGTACAACATTAAATTTGAACAAACTGCATGTCCGGTATAAACCGACTTTAATAATTTGAGCCCAAACTGGGAACACATGATTTTGCTTCACGTTTCTATATTTTTTCATATATATATACACATGCAATAGTGTGGCCATAGCATTGATTGACAATTCAAATCACCAAACATTAACTTTAATCAAGTAACACTCCTTCGACAGTGACTTTATGAATGTATATACAGTACAGCATTGAAGCGTTGTGCATTTGCAGACTTAAGCACGAATCTACGGGAAGTTCCAGCGTTAGGAATTTGACACTTGCAAACGAAATGTATGATTTAAAAAAATCCACAAAGAATAATTTAGTGAATTTTTATATTGCAGACCGAGTGCTTTTGTGAAGTTATGACTGGCTGACAATTATAATTTCTCTGGTCCAAAGATTCGTGACATTCTTTGCTGGGTTACATCATTCGAAGTTGGTGATTTGTGGGATCTGCACCCAGAACATTTAAAGTAATTTCGTGAGAAAGACTTGGCGGCTTCCCAGAATCATATGAATATATCATGTGTTCTGTGTTAATGGTATGACTTGAAGTCCAGCAATATGGATGTGATGGTTTCTGGACAGTAATCAAGAAGATGTTTTTCTTTAAAGAACTTGAAATGGACAAGTGGAACATGATTTGTCATTTGAAAGGAAGAACAAAATTTAATCAAGACTGAATTATGATTAAAGTACATTGCTCAGAGTATTTTCATATTATACCTTTACATTAATCACCGATGGTCTTTTGCAAAAAAAAAATAGAAGTTATATTTTTGTAAAACGAATACCTTTAAACCAAACACTACTCTCACGTTTGTAGCTTCCCAGATTAAAGAACGCACTACTCGCTTTAAGTTTAAATTATTCCGCCCGGGTGGACTGCTGCGCTGAGCGAGGGCTCGAATTCTGAGTCTCGCGACCTGGCTCGCTCTGAACACGACTCGGCTCGGGCGTGAAGGGCCCCCCTCCGTCACTCGTCGTGAACACGTGAGCGGCTCGGCCACGGCTCGGGCATGGCTCGGGTTCGGCTCACGGATTTTGCTGATAAATTTGCTCATCCACTGGTGGTTAGGCAGGAGACTATCCATAAAAAAACAATCGCTCGATTGCTTTCGAAGGAACTGAAACTCAAAAGCAACAATAAGTTAAATACGCGATTCTGAATCCAAATAATATCCGTGGCTCAGCGGTAGGTTTGCAGTCGGAAGGTTGTGAGTTCAAATCCTCGTTGGGGAGGGGGTTGGCTCGGCTCATCATGCCTATGTGGTCGATAAAGTTAAGTCAACAGTGGTCGTCCTATGAAAAGACTTGCCGCAGGAGTGTGGAGTTCCCATCACAGCCTCACGGCGGAATAGAGGAGAATTGGCACTGCCTCAAGTGCAAATTTTGAGTAGAAAGTCGCATTTTTAAAATAAAATACAAAATTTCCCTTTTGTAAACTGAAGGTAATATTTACAACCAATGTGCAACATCAAAACTATTTTTCGTGATGCGTAGTGGCAGTTAACAAGCAACCGTTGCACCAAATGTTTTCTTCTAAACTACAGTGATTGTTACATTACAGATAGGTCATTGGGGACTTTTCTAATTATTTAACGCTGGTCCACACATAATCGCTTACGACAAAACTCTCAATCGCGCAACTTAATTGCCTGCACGTATGCAACCAAGTAGTGCAACTGATCGTTCAAGCGTCGACTTGCCACGACATTTAAAACAGTACATCATCCGTTTTGGGCAGTCTTTACGTGGGTGCACTTAATGCCACGGTATATACTGGTACGAGGAGATTTTATGAATGCAAAGGATGCTGTCGGTTAGGTGTTCATTACATTAATTAAAACATTTTAAACTCCATTCCAATAACTGAACCGATTTGCTGGTTTTGGCATATGCTGTTCCTTTTTTTGTGTGATTTCCATAATATTGTTTTGTTTGTATATAAGATGCATGCTTTCTTTGCAACCCCCCCCCCCCCCCCATCAATGCTTACTTGCCAGTCACAGCCATAATGTCTCACGTCCGTTACGGCGATCTGTCATGCAACCCTGGCCGCAAAATTAATGAGGCATCTTTATATTACGTTGTCCTTGCACAGAAAGAGTGGGGAAATAAAATACAACTTTTATCAAATCGTTACCAAGAACATGTTACGGATGTCACATTCGGTTTTAATAGCAACCTACCGTTATTTTGAATCGTTGAAATGTTATCCTTTAGCTCCACTAAAATGTAATGTTACTAACCTGGGAATAGTATACAATGTTTACACGGTTGTATATTTAATGACATGTATAGATGTGCAGCTCAAAAGCCATCCTTACCATTGATTTCCTAACACGCGTGGCTTTTGACTTTTGAATATTTTTTCTTTTTAACAGGCGGGCTTTAAATTGTCTGTAAAAGAGAAGGAATATTGGACGTTATTGCCATGCAACGTTGTTTTCGAGGCCTTGTTAATTCTACTTATCTCCTGTGTCACGAAAGTACACGACTGGAATCCACAGACGCCACAAACAGGAGCAGGAAATCCGTTAAAAAAATCATTTGTTTAACCGTGTTTAAAAAAAAGAATAAATCTATCCCTCAGTACCACATTGTATTTGTATAGGTCAAGACGCAAACATGGGCAAATTAAATTACGTGCCTTTTAATTTGTGTGATCAAAGTTTAGGTTGTTTGTCACGGCAGTAGGTGTTTTTTTTGTTTGTTTTCAACGCGTACTCGTTTTGTGCGAAATTCTTGTAGACTTTATATCGTCATGATTGTGTTACCGTTCATAAGAACATTTAATGATATGCTGAAGAGCCAGGTTATTTGGCGACTTATCCTTATAACAAGCGCCGCCTCTTTGTTTCGGTTGTTGCCCATGCAATATTGATGGTCTCAGTGACACATTGGTTGTCCGTGACATGTTGGTAATTACTTTGTTGGAGGTCACGTGCAATCTTGGTCACGAGTGTCACGTTGGCGGTCCTCACGTACGCACGTGTTTCGGAACGCCCTTCGCGCACCGTACGCGCAGCGAAAACGTGTCAAATCGGTCACCGACCCATGATTGCCAAAATGCACGACCCGATGTGGGGGTGGGTTCGCTCGCCGATCGGCGCAGCAGTCAAGCCGTAGGTCAGTGTATGCAGTTCCTCGTCGTCATTAATGTGGGATTTTTAATAGCCTCAACTCGTGAACAATAACGGGGTTGACCATATTGCCCATTTCTCGTTGAGCGTGTGAACGCCGACTTCGTTGGCGCAAATTAGTGCGGAATGCAGCGAGCATTTCCGTTCGAAATCGGCCGTCGGTGTGGTTTGTTTAAAAGTGCAGTATTTTGATGCTATCCTTGAGGCCTTGCTCAAAATGAGCCAGATTCCATGGTTCGATGCCAAAGGATAATTTGGTGTGTGTGTGTGTATTCCGGCCTTCATAGGTGCTCGCTAACAGCACCTTGCCCCAACAGTCTGTTAAGTCTACACGGGCCAGCTTTGTCTTTGTTGTCATTGTATTGAGATCGATGTACAAAAGTGGCACGTTGCTTGATTGTGCCGCCTTGCCCCCCCCCCCAAACTCGGTGGAGAATTCACGTCGTCCCCTAACGAAACTCCACAAGACAATTACAATGTCCATTGGCAATGCGGTTCCTTAACCTGGTCGTTGGTCCAGGAATTGGAACAAGAAGGGCAAACTCACGGCAGGTGCCGCGCGTTACGCCAAAGTGTGCGCTGGCTCGTACTACACGTGGTGTGATTTAATAAAGACATTCCTCTGACACGTCTTGAAGGGATGGCAAATAAGTGTTTATTCATTACGAGAGAGAGAGAGATAGATAAATGATTGTTGTGTATGAGAATGTATGCCGTTCTGCACGTTCGTCAAGTGATTTCGTGTATAAAGCCAATTAAAATATCGTGCCTTGCACTTGTTCGCCTCTTCGTGTCGTTCATTGTGATCTCCTGCAGACCTGGGTAAAATGTTTAACGCCAAGTATTTTCCCAGTCTCTTCACAGTGTGCGTGGTGTGTGGGCTCACTGCCAACTACATCGATTTGCGCCTGTGTGTTTACTTAGATCGCGTTATTGAATGATTGGTGAACTGCGGTTCAACAATACTAGGAATCGGCTCTCTTGCAACTGTTTGTTCAAGACATGAAGTCCGGCACGGCGCACGAGAGTGTCGACCTCGTGGCGATGTTTATAGCACACCGCACCAGATACTCATTTGAGGCCGAGTCGACCTGGGGGAGGCCGGAAACCGGTTCAAATAATCGCCAGTGGTGTAGGCCGTGAGCGGCAATCGATCTCGGGTCGCCGGGTTCGCAGCGCAGCGCGCCGACCGCTACACTACGGAGGTTGGAAGGACGGCGCCGTCTTTCCACGGTCCTGGTCCCAGGGTCCCAGCGTGGTGAAGCTCTCCTGTGAGTCCTGTGACCACGGGGTGTGGAGCCATCGGATGGCGGGATAGGTGAGACCGTGGGGGTCCTTGCAGAGGCGTAGCTAGGAGGGGGCAGGGGGGTACATGTGTCCCCGGGCGCCAAGGTAAAGGGGCGCCAAA